TACTTAACACTGAACTCTTGAGTAAATATATCTACTCTCTTAAGGTATGATTACTCTTCTATTTTTCCAAAACTTAAAACTTTCACTGAATATTCTCTTTTTCAGTGATAAAATGTTTTAAAAGGTGGTCTCAGTGRTTCTCTACACTCACCACATCTTAAAGTATATTTTTATACTTTATCTTAAAAATCTAAAACAATCACTGATTCTTTTCTTCAGTGATCAAAAGTTTTTTAAATGTCAGTTTCAGTGACTTTCTTCACTAAAACATGATGTCTTAAAACCATCACTGAATATTTTCTCGTTTTCAGTGTTAAATTGTTTTAAAAGAAGTCTCTCAGTACTTTTTTAACTGAATGACTCTTCATATTCTTAAAAACAATTTTTTATTTTTAAAATAAAATAATAAATGCACATCTTTATGACGACATTCTCTGTTTTCTATAAGCGACGCTTTGAGACGCACAAAATGACCTGTCATTATGCTACCTCATTAAATGCTATCCAATCGTGGACGAGAATGTGACACATTATTCATCATGACCACTTTTTGAATCGTCATCTTTTTCTCTCTCTCATATTTCTTCTCTCTCTACTCTTACCTATAAATATGAGATCTCTTCTTCACTTTTCTCTTTACGCTTTCAAAAATCATTAGACGAACCTCTGCTAATATTTTTCCAAAGCAAGAACTCTCTTCAAACCCTTCATTTTCGACCTTTCCTCTTCACATTCACAAAGGTCAGAATCTTTTTCTTTTCTTCTTCTTAGTTATAAGAAATCTGTTTAATCTTATTAAGAACTTTGTTCTCTTAATGCATTAAACTATAAAGATTGTTAATCATTTCCTTCTTGATTAACAAATCTGTTTCTTTATACACATTCTACTTGAAAAACCCTAATTTTTTATGGTTTTTTCAAAAGAAGTTTTTCTTTGTTTAAAAACTTTTTTCTATACTCTTTAACCATATATTCTTGGTACAATTCTAACATTATATCTTCCTGTTTATGTTATTTCTTTAACAAAATACAGATGGCTGCCAAGAACGTCAACTTCACCATTGACGAGATCTCTATCAAGGCCAACAACCACATTGCTTTGCTAGAGATACCCTCAACCAGAGCATTCTACCAAGAGGCGGCGGACTTCCTCAAACAGTCGTCACTTGGTTATGCTCTCAACCATGAACCTCTCATGGTTAAGGAACTTCTCCAGCAGTTCTGGTACACTGTTGAGGTCGTCGAGGTCCAAGACGAAGCTGGACGAACAATGGAGCAAATCCACTTCACCTTCAACCGTATGGAAGTGAACTTCGGGGTTTCTACACTCCGCTCAGCTTTCCGTCTTCCAAGGGGTCCCTTCGACAGCGAACTCTCCACCGCCGAGATCATCTCCTTCCTTGATGCCATTGGCTACCAGTGGCCAATGAAGAAGGACTCCGACGCTCCTCTCAAATCCCTCACGAAGATTGAGAAAAACAGGATGT